CACTTCTCCAGTTTGGGGGTTATTGCCCAGAGTGCCCTGATGTCCATGGGCACCACCGATGTCTTCACTCTCCAGGCCTTCTCAAATTCCTCTTTGAGGCCCTGATACTTCTCCAGTTTCTCGTGTTCCTTTTTCCTGATGTTGCCATCACTTGGTATTGTCACATCAACCACAACAGCTGTCCTCTTTTGTTTGTCCACCACCACAATGTCCAGTTGGTTCTCCATCACCATTCTGTTAGTCTGGATCTGGAAGTCCCACAGGAGCTTGGCTCGCTTGTTCTCAACCACCTTAGGGGATGTTACCCACTTAGACCTTGGTGCTTCTGGTCTATACTCTGCATAGATATTTCTGTACACCATGCCAGCCACTTGGTTGTGGCGTTCCACGCATGCTTTCCCTGCCATCAGAGGGGCCTCTATATAGGTCCCTGCCCGAGCATAATATGGTGGGGTGGTGGGGTTTAGGGTTATGGTTGGTGTCATCAGCAGAATAGAATGAATTAGAATGTTAGTCATACATTACATAGGTCAGTTAGATGGAACTATTTCGAAAGTTGGTTTTAACCAATTGCCAGAAGTAATATATATATATATATATATATATATATATATATATATATATATATATATATATATATATATATATATATATATATATATATGCATGAATAGGTCAAGATCAGCCTTTAGCAACCATGGACACCAAAAATACAAGTCAATTTTATTTCAGTCTTATGATTTCAACATGAAATCTCATTCTGTGTGAAGTACAGTGACTAATTTACCCTGTGAGTGGTCAGTCCTCCCAGCCATGATTGGTGTTGTGCTAGGCAGCAGCTCAACGAATGATGATGTATTCCTTCAGAGCTAGACCTGGGCAATCTGAGCTGTTCTATGTTATTTTAGACTTCAAGAGTAAATGGCAGCAGATCATAGTGATGAATGGCTTTTATGAGGGCAGAGTAGTTTGATGGCAGTGAACGGAGGCTGAGGGAAGGGTAACTCAAGCCTGAATGCATCAGTCTGAATTCCTCTTTTATTCATCACTCTGTCTCTTCCTTTTCTTCACCCTCTCTTCTCCAGCTCGGCTAGCTGTGACTGGTCATTAAGACAACATTAAGTGCTCTGTGAATCCATAGCTCCTCTGCCTCCTCGCTACTTATGACCTATGAAAGAGAGCAGCTATAATGACACACACAATGGCCGCATTTGACAATCAGAAGCAGGGAAAAGTGTCCCCTACACATCTGGTAAAAGCAAAGCTATTAGAGTGGAGCCAGTGGGTACTTTTGGTTGGCTTACAAATGAGTGTTGTGTAAAGAGGCTTTCAGGCCTTGTCAGGTGTTTCATCTGCAAAAAGCAGTTTGTTTTCAGTTTGATTGTCAGTGATAGATAAAGATATGACAACTTGGAAAAATAAAAGTAACTGAGAAAACACACAAAAAATGAAAGAAATGCTCATCACACTGTTTGTAGTCCATCATTTTGTAAAAACATCCGTTTCTCTGTGTTTCCTTACCTAACTGCCATCAGGACTCCATTATTTCGTATCACTTTAACCTACACAAGCAGCAAGGAAAACCTACAGCTTGTTTATCCTGTGCTGATATCAGCGATACATTCCAGCTGGTGTAAACTCAATAAACAAACATTTATGATTCAAAGCATACAAGTAAGCAGAGAGCCTGGCTTCATCTCAGTCCGCCCCTGTGCGTGTTTCCCCTCTGTCTTTTCCAACATATCTTACGAAAAGATTTCTATTTTGGCAAGATAGAATGGATAAACTACATTTATACAGCGTTGGCCTTGTTTCGTCTGACGCACCGTATAATGGAGAATTCCCTTACCGCAAAGGTGATCGGTGATGATGCCTTCTCTTGTTCCAGGTCAGGGAGATGTCAAGGGATACGTTTAGCTTAAATGATATAAAAGATCTGGACACAAAGTGAGAAAAATGAATCTTATTGATGCGACAAGGACATGCTCCCTACAGCACGGCGGCCATTTGTGTTTTGTAAACACACGTCATGTGGGTTTTTAGGGGTGAGAGAATAAAAAGATGCTAAAGAACAAAGGAAAAAATGTCAATATCTGCAGCAATCAAATGGTCTGTACTTGCACAAGCAGAAATGCGGCACGTAGCCTCAAGCTCTCGGCAGTAAAACAAGAGCGAGCAAATCAATATGTTGTTGGTAAACAATCAAATTACAAACACAGACCTTTCTGGGCACACAGGTGAAAACAGTAAATGAATGCAAAACAGGGCAAGGATGAAACAAAACTGATTTCTTCCAAGGAATCAATGCACCTGTTCTAGTTTTTGTTCATTTTAGGCTGCTTTGACACAATGGTGACACTGAACAGTTCCTGAGTGGGAAATCACAAAATTATATATATATATTTCATTATTATATGAGCCAATGAATTCCCGGACAGATTCGAGATGGACATTATCGGAGATGCCTCAGGCCTCTCTCTGGCGTGAAAGATGGTGGTCATTTGGCTAGACGAGAGGCCGTGAGGACCCCCTCCTCAACCAGAGCAGACGGGTGCAGAGGAGCCTAGGGCTGGCTGTATTAATGAACAGGCAGTGCTGAAAGGGACAGGTTCCTGTAATGCTGATGAATGGTCATTACAGAGCAGAGATGGGAGAAGAGAGCGGAAGGAGAAGGAGGGGGTAGAATGGTAGAGTGAAGTGGGCACAGAGGGAGCAGCAGTGAAAAAAGGCTTTAATTTGCACCTCAGATTTCTGTAAACTCATTTATCATGTCTGCAGTTTCAATGTTCATCATGTATCTTCCCTCTCCATCCTCCACACGTCCTCGTCGTACCCAAACCTGCTAGTTTTTCTATGTGTGTTCTTGCACAAGTAGGTTTATCATTTATGTTGCAAAATGATGGCTTCTAATAATCCTGTTTCTCCTGCCGACCATTATTTTATAGACCTATCAAACAAAACTTTGGAATTTTTACCATGGCTCTTTTGGCTATGTGTGGAGAGCTGATATTTCTCTGCTCTATTACACCCAATTGAGAAGGTAGAGCTTTAACGGTCACACACACACACACACACACACACACACACACACACACACACACACACACACACACACACACACACACACACATGCATGTGTGTCTTTCTATCATAGTGAGGACAATCCATTGACTTCCATTATGCCTAACACATCCCATAACCCTAACCAACGCTGATCTATTCCTAACTCTAACCTTAACTAAAATGTAATTCACGCCATTGCTCTAAAACTAACTGGTAAGAGAGGGAGGACTAAAACCGAACCAGATAAAACAGCGAAACACAGCAACTGAAACAAAATGACACTAGATTAAAAACTGAAAGGAATAAACTATTCTGATAATAACTGAAGACAGAGGTGATAATGAGCTAAACAAAACAACAAGATAGCACAGAGTCACCCCGGCTTCCCACTGGCCGTGAAAGCGGTCGCATAACGTAATAGCGGTGTTCTACCCGCCAGCTCGTCCCCAACCGGGAGCAATTCTGATGCGAAATGGGAGTGAAAGCAGTCCACACAGCTGATCCTGTGACGTCATAATCACAGGAGAATTGCAACACCACACATAATTTCAGATGTCCAAACACAATAATAAACAAGAAGAAAGGTGGTGGCACACATAAAAAAAATATCTGGTTATTTTCTGTTCTGTTTACATCGGTTTCAGAAGTTCACAGGAAATGACGCACTGCACATGACTTTTACTTTGAAAGATTCCAGATGTTCCACACAGTTTTTGTGTTTAACTTCCTGTCTGACCCGATCTTAACTGCGGAGTTTGACGTGTATAGGAAGCGTGGTGCGTTAAAACAGACTCGGAGCGTAATGATGGCGCGCCTTCACTTCTGGGCCGCGCATAACGTCACACTTAGCTGCCGATGGAAAGGAACTCATCCACTATAACCGCGGCTAATTGCAGCGTAGTATGCTTCGTGATGCTTTGACTTGCAGTGGAAAACTGGGGTCAGGGAGCAAGGGCAGGGGTCAAAGGTCAAGGACACACACAAGGAGGAAAACTAAACTAAATAGATGAAACAATACACTGGAAAAATAAGATGCACTGGGGAGACAGTGGGAGAACCAAAATGGAAAGATAGGAACAAAACATCAGAAAACCAAAGACACAAGGACAAAGGGGAGACAAAGGACATGACAGTAATTTGTTTTTTATCTTTTAATTTAAATATTTGACTTGGCCTTTGTGTCGTTCTTGGGTTACCTTCTTGAGTATGTTCAACCAAATCTTTTTGTACAGGCAGAACGTTGTTCAGAGGTAGTCAAAATGTGAGTTTTCATTCAAATCTATGTTTTTATTGCCTTTTGATTCTACCAGCGCTCAGTGATTCAAGCCAAATGTTAATGGCACATTTTCATCATGATGTGATGCACTGAGTTAATTCCCCAAGGGCCTTCTGATGCTCATCCAACATTCTTTCTGGGTCACACCTGCAAGAAATGGCCTGCAGCGCGATTCAGTTCAGTCTGCACACAAGTGCCTCTCCATCAGATGGGCTCTTGGCTGCCATGTAGTCTGTGTCTATGTAATTGTAATTCACTAGTGCATAATCTGAAATTTGTTACTCACCATCTTTCAAATGTTTCAAATCAGTGCCCAGTAACACTTAGCAAAAATGGCAAATGCTACTGCAACCACAGTAAATACTCAGCCATTGCTCCTGCAGTGGTACGAGTACTACAACTGCCTTTGCATCATGTGGGTGTACAGTTGTTAGTAATTTCAAAAAGAAGGAAAGATGAATAAGCCTTCGAGCACAAAAGGCTGATTTCTTTTTGTTAATCCAGGAAGAAGACTCATATTTAGTGCCTTAGGGAGGATAGTGTTATGTGTAAAAACTCTGTGTGGCTCAGCCAATACTCATTTCTTTGACAAAATTAAAAAAGGTACTGCAGTCTCATGATTACTAATGAGTTTGCATTCTTCTTTTCTGTCTTTCTGCAGTGGGAGGAAGTGAGTGGCTATGATGAAAACCTTAACACCATCAGGACCTACCAGGTGTGTAATGTCTTTGATTCCAGTCAAAACAACTGGCTTCTCACCACCTTCATCGATCGCCGTGGAGCACAACGCATCTACGTGGAGATACGATTCACCGTACGAGACTGCAGCTCCATCCCGAACGTCCCCGGCTCCTGCAAGGAGACGTTTAATCTGTACTACTATGAAACCGATTCTGTCATCGCCACCAAAGGCTCAGCCTTCTGGATGGAAGCCCCTTATCTCAAGGTGGACACCATTGCTGCAGATGAAAGCTTCTCACAAGTAGACTTTGGTGGACGCCTGATGAAAGTCAACACGGAGGTGCGCAGCTTTGGTCCACTGTCCAAAAATGGCTTCTATCTGGCCTTTCAGGATTATGGTGCATGCATGTCGCTGCTATCAGTCAGGGTGTTTTACAAAAAGTGTCCAAGCGTGGTGCAGAACTTTGCAATCTTCCCAGAAACCATGACCGGGGCTGAAAGCACATCCCTGGTGATTGCCAGAGGGATCTGCATCCCCAACTCAGAGGAAGTCGATGTGCCTATAAAGCTCTACTGTAATGGAGATGGAGAATGGATGGTTCCTATTGGCAGCTGTACGTGCAAAGCCGGATTTGAACCTGACAATGGCAACGTTTGTCGCGGTAAGAACACAGTGGATCAACTTATCATGACTAAGCTTTAGTTCTTGAGTCTGTTTCAACTTCACTTCCTAGTTACACATTTGTTGCCTTTCATTCTTCTTGCACTCACAAAATAATGAACCACTCACAAGGATTTCAATCCATCCTTGACATCTGATATGAATTTATTTTATTTTGAACTTGTACCAAGATATAAGCATAGCATAGATCACAGGTTTTCTACATCATTAAAAAGGCTGGATCAAGAATGTTCCGTAGAGCTGAGAATGATGCGCTTGTGCGTTTCCTTTTTTTTCTATTTATGGTCCTACACACTTTAGGAGTAATTCATTTCCGTTAGCGCTGAGTCCTAATCTGCCACGAATGGATCACTTTTAAACGTCCTACCTGACTGACTTGGAGAGAGTTTGACTCTCACAGTGTGATGTGTGAAGACTGAGTTCTGAGGTAATGATAACAACTAGAATCTAAAGAGGATTAATGCAGTTTTATGTTTCTGGGGTTCAAACTGCCACTTTGTTTCTCTTCTTAAGTCTACTCTCTAGTGTATCCATGGGCTTTGCACCTTGTTATTTTGACACACAAGCACACACACACACACACACACACACACACACACACACACACACACACACACACACACACACAGAAAAAAATACTCAAGGTGTCTGAAGATAATTTGAGTGCTTTGGGGCTCTCAGTGTGGTGCTGTATTGGTTGGGCTGCCTCAAGCGCTTGGTTGGAAAGTATGTGGAGCCCAGATAAGATTGATTGAAGCCCATCTGTTCAGATCAATGAACAGATATAGGCATGCCATTTATCTACAAAGCACATTGCACTGTGTGTGACTGCTTCCACTGTGTCCTCCTTGCATCTTGCATGACTTGGTCTCCTAAGGAAATGTTCATCACACCTAGAAAGTGCACACACACACACACACACACACACACACACACACACACACACACACACACACACACATACACACACACACACACACACACACACACACACACACACACACACACACACACACAACCACTCTCAGAAAAAGCAGCAATGTAAACAAAGGAACTAGATGATCTAGCTATTTTCTTCCATGTAAACACCTCACTCTCCGGAGAATTGGGTGGAATCTGTTGTTTTCTCGTTTAATCAGAGAGGCTCCTCAATAACAACTACTCCTCCCTTGCATTTTACATTTTCCAATATTTGTTTTCCTAAAAACTTAAAATCCATGGTTAAAAAGTCATTCCAATCTGCTAATACTCTTGAAAGCTACAGCAACCAGTTGTGAATCGTAATAGCGTGACTTCATTTACTGTATAGCCACTAACCAGGAGTAAACACAAGAGCTAGTAAAACATGAGAAGAACATTAGAATATTTATTTTAAATTAGAATATTTTCACATATTGAGGACAGCATGGTGCAAGGGCGTTCTGCAGCTGACCAGAGGTTTCTGTAGTTCTTAATTGCTCAGTAGAGTACCAAAAACAAACAAGCTATTACCTCTGTTTTGGCCAGTGATAAACAACTGGTCATTTATTATTTATTTAGAAATAACATATTTCACTTTAGCAAAAACCATTACTATTCTCAAAACCCATTCAATATAAACATGAAATGGTGCTGAGATTATGAACACTTATTTTACTCACTGATAAAATAATCCATTTTAGTTTCAAAAATACAAAGAGAAGCAATATATGTATACGTGTTTATGCTTTTTTAGGATTATGGGGTAGTTTTTGGTTTTGGTATCTGATAAGGAAAATGTTTGATTTAATATTTAATCTCTCTTTCACATGGAGGGTAGATGTAGTGAGTCAGAGAAGTGTGTCAACTTAAGTTAGAGCTGCACATAAAAACAAGTTAGGTTGTCGTAGTCTGCATCAAGAGTGCCACAGTATGAAGTTGTTCATCACAAGAACGTTTACAGGACTTTTAAAAAAAGGTAGACATGAATTATATAAATACTGTGTTTGAAGGCTGCATGTTTTGTGGCATTGTAAGACATAAATCCATTATTTTTGATGCAGCTAATAAAAAACGATGAAATCCTCTCTACAAGACTATTGATTTACTCAGTAGAGTTGTTATTTTTTTACATTTTTCAACATCTCCGACTGATGTAGGTAAACTACAGAGATGCATCAACTTATTTTATTTAGTTTGACTAAACTAGGCTGTTGTCTGAAAGTCGGACCGGGGGGGTTGCTGTTGGATTGCTGGCTGTAATGCACACGAATCTCCTGCCCCCTTCCCCTCCTTCCCCTCCGGCTCGCGCGGTCTTCGGGGGCCACAAAGAGGGGGTCCACAGGCCGCACGTGGCCCGCGAGCCGTCTATTGAGAACCACTGGTGATTGGGTATATTAAAGTTTGATAACTAAGGAGTAAAAACCGATAGCGATATTTTCAGGCCAATATCGGTAAACCAATAATATCAGACACCCCTAGTCTAAACAAGTTTGTTGACTTTTTTTGTCCCTGCACAAATTTAGTGCAGCTCTAGTACAACAGTCTTGTTTCTTATGGAAATTATAATTTTATTGCTTTTGTTTCTAAATAAAAAGTCCTGTTGTCTTTTAGGCCCACAATAACTTTTTTGTTGTAGAACTCCTATCAGCGGAACCATGTTTTAATTAGTGACAGCTAGCATTTGTGTGTATGTGTGACACCTGCTGTAAGTTGTTCTGATAGGCCATGTAGAGATGTACTCTGCAACGATGATACCAGCATGCCATCCTAATTACCGGCTCCCACACGAGCCATTTGGGTATCCCCTCCTCTTTCTGCCTTGCATTCTCTCTCCCTCTCCCCCCCTCGGCCATGTAAGCAATCTGCTAAGTATTTTATCACCTCTCTGGTAAATCGAGCAGAGACACTCAAAACAGCACCCCGCCACCTTCACCAGTGCTTAGCGTGTGTGTGTGTGTGTGTGCCCTGCTCAACTCAAGTACCTAAGAGACACTGATGTGATGGTTTTATTGAACCTTCTCATAACCATTGATGGGGGGGGGGGGTCTAGCTTAGCGACTGATGGAATCACCTCGACTGTGTTTGCTTTACATCGTCTGCTGATGTAACCATTTATCATGATCTTTACAATCCTAATATCAAATGTGATTAAAACTCCCCGTTAAGCTAATTATTCTGGTGTTGGAAAATCTCAGAGTGACTGATGTGACATAAATTGCTTCACACTAAAGCTTCCCTAGTTGATAAATACTAAAGAAGTGAATTGGGACGTTCTTTATAGTTTTTTCCCCTTAAGGATTTCTATTCTTTAAATATTTGAGAGCTTTTATTTATAATATCCATGAATACCTTATTATTTTCCATATTTTTAATAAGAAAACTCATTTAAACTCATTTCTTTTTCCTTTCTCTGGCCATTTTTATGCAAAACACATAGATGCTCTTAAATTCCCGAGTCTCTTCACAGTTTAGACTTAAAAGCTCTGTTGATAGTGAAAAATCATTAAAAATGTAAAGAGTATGTTTTCCCCCCACAACTTGTTTTTCCACCATATTTGAATTATATTTGTGTGTAAAAATATAATTGCCTGTAATATCATCTTGGAACAAATCTATTTAAAACTTCTTTTAGCTTGTTATTGCACCCCCCGTTCCACCCCTCCCTCCAAATATCAATGCAACATCCATGATTATGTATTTAAAAAGTTAGATATCTACATAATTCCCCCATCCACCACCACCACAACCCGAGCAGTCCTTCAGCCCCTCAAAGCAACGTGAATCTTCTCAAATTTGCTCACACCGTTAGACTCCAGTGGTCTTTTGACATGCCACCGCATTAATATTACAAATATTCAAATAACTTTATTTAACATTCTGCAGGCTGACAGTGGCAGTAGGAGATTCACAGCCCATTGAGCAAGCGCCTTTCCCCAGACTAAGTGCCGATTCATCATGAATGCCTTACTCCTGTCTAATGGCTGCCATCATGTTGCTCACACACACACACACACACACACACACACACACACACACACACACACACACACACACACACACACACACACACACACACACACACACACACACACACACACACACACACACACAGAAGTGGATAGTACTTGTTCTATGTCTGCATTTTAAAAATGTTAAATGCAGTGACCCTGGCTCGTTTATCATACCATTAACCCTTAGCTGAAAATCACATGAATCCTGATATAAACTCTTAAAGGGCTTATTGTCATGAGCACAACCGGTGGATTTATTTCTGTGAAGCCAAAATAAGATGGTAATGCTTTTAAATCCTAGAAACACAAGAAAGAACTGAAAATCTTCAGTAAGTTTTTTTTTTATCCAAAGCTTTAAAGTTCGTCTTCAGACACTGAAACTTTTTTTTTTTTTACTTCTTTGTACATCTCTTCAGAGTGTAAAGGATCTGACAGATAGGACCCGCAAAGGCCCCATAACCTATTAGAACTAATTCCAGCCCATTTAGCCTTGTCTTTTCCTGTTCTATGGAGTTTACTTCATTTGCAGTGAGGCATCCGTGTGTACTCACCATCACACAATAAAACACACACACACTGACGTCCACTAAGTCACCTTGAAGCCCAATTAAGTAAGCATCTGACTTTTCCTGTTCCTATTAGTCTTATGGCGGAGGACTGGCGTGATGAGGGCAGGATGGAGTGGTAAAAGGAAGAGACAGAGAGAGGCTAGACGAAAGAAGAGGGTGAAAGACTTCTTGTTTCCATGGTTTTCAATGGGCTGAATAGAGGGGTGGTGGAGAGCAGTGGTGAAAGAGCACGACCCAAACAAAAACTCTTTGAATTCAAGGTCCAAAGAGAGTGTTTCTAATGACCCCAAACACAGATGCAGTGCTCTCCCTGCAACAGCAGTCAGTCTCTAATGATGTGAGGGGAATCTAGGGATTTTGTTCACACATAATGGACAAACCCACCACAAACAGAGCTGTTCTTATCCTCGACGGAGGGACACATAGTCCTACTTCTATTA